CTCTATCTCTCTCCCTTCCTCTCTGTAAAAAATCAATAAAATATATTAAAAAAAAAAAAAGAGGAAAACCATAAAAATCCTCCCGGCCTCACCACCCTGTCCCCCTCTCCACAGGTAACGGTGTTGTCATTCCTGTGACCTGCACAGGCAGCTTATGAATATTCAAGGCAAGTATTTATTTTTAATTGATTTGAGAGAGAGAGAGAGGAAGGAGGAGAGAGAGCAACATCAGTAGCTGTTCCCACTCAATACACCTTCATCGGTTGCTTCTTGTAGGTGCCCTGACCCGGGATTGAACCCACAACCTTGGCGTATTGGGGCGATGCTCTCAACAACGGAGCTGCCCGGCCAGGGCTCAGGGGCAAGTATTAACAGCCTTTCAAGCCTTTTCTACACAAAGGATAGCCTAGCCTTCGTACGGTTTATTTTGAACCTTGTTCCCTCAACCAAAGATCTTAGCAATCCCTCATAAGCTTCCTCTTTCTCTTCTTTTTTGAATCGTGGTAAGAACTCTTGACATGAGCTCTGCCTTCTTAGGGAATGTTGACGTCCCCAGGGCGGCATCGCTGACTCCAGGCATCACGACCTGCACAGCAGGTCTCTGGGACTTACTCCTCTTGTGTGACTGAAACGCTCTACTCCTGGAATGACTAACTCCCCATCGGCCTTCTCCCGGCCCCGGGCAATCACTGTTCTACTCTCTCTGTCTGTGGGTTTGACTATTTTAGATCCTTCGGAGAAGTGGAGTCAGGCAGGCAGTATGTGTCCCTCTGTAACTGGCTGATTTCACTTGCCATAACGTCCCTGGGGTAGGAGGCGGGATTTAGGAGCTCCCTCTTTCTTAACAGCGCTTTCATCCACATTGAAGGCGGGATTTAGGAGCTCCCTCTTTCTTAACAGCGCTTGCCATTCTTTGGATGGGAAGACTGAGGCGTCAGGAGAGGCTGAGTGACTTGCCCGTGAGCACCCAACCAGCAAGAGGAAGAGCAGGGATTTGAACTCAGGGCTCTCCAAATCCTCCGCTCTGCACCAAGCATTGTGCTGCATTTGAAAGACATCGGGCGCCCCTGCCGGGTGGCTCCGTTGGTTGGAGAGTGGTACCATGCACCCAAAGGGTTTCAGGTTCCGTTCTGGGTCAGGGCACATACCTAGGGTTCGGGTTCCATCCCAGGTTGGAGCTTGTGCGAGAGGCAATCGATCAATGTTTCTCTTTCACATCGGTGTTTCTCTCTCTCCCTCTCTCTCTCTAAAAATTAATATAAATATATCCTCGGGTAAGGATTGACCACAACAAGAATAAATAAATAAAATAAAAGATATTAGGGACGATGGATAGATGCTGTTTCCTGCCCGTCTCACCCCAAACCACCGCCTCCTAGGTCTCCCCTTCCTCCTGCTCCTCTCCTCCCCTGCCCGTGCCATCTCACCTGCTTGCAGCCCACACATACAGAGCATCAGGGACACCCAGCCTGCCAGCTTTCTCATCACCTCCATCTACCTGCAGGCGGCCTGCCCCGGCACAGGTTGCCTCTGACTTTATACTCCCCAATGCCCGCCCCTCCTACTCGAGCTGCTCCGGGGCACACGGACTTACTCCAGAGCACAGTGTGCCCTGCCCTGAACCTCAGGGCGCACACGAAGATCAGGAACATCCCTCTCAGAAGCGTGGCCCCAGACCAGCTCCATCCCCCTCACCTCACCGGCAAGCTGGTTGGAAATGCAAGTCCTCAGGCCCCACTCCAGACTCTGAAGCTCTGGGGAAGGGACCCAGGGCCTGGGTTGTAACATGCCCTCCAGGTGAGCCCAGTGGTTGCTAAAGTCTGAGAACCATCCCTCTGGCTTAATACTTTCATATCCACCTCATCTCATTTACTCCCTTCCTTATTTTTTTAAAATGAAAGTCCACCCTGGCCGGTGGCTCAGTTGGTTGAGCATCTTCCCGTGCACCAAAAGGTTGTGGGTTCAGTTCCTCGTCAGGACACATACCCAGGTTTCGGGTACGATCCCCGGTTGGGTGGGTACGGGAGGCAACCAATCTATGTTTCTCTCTCTCTCTCTCTCTCTCTCTCTCTCTCTCTCTCTCTCTCTCTCTCTCCCTTCCTCTCTCTCTAAAAAGCAATGGAAACATCTTGGGGTGAGGATTTTAGAAATGGAAGGAAGGAAGGAAGGAAGGAAGGAAGGAAGGAAGGGAGGGAGGGAGGGAGGGGGGGAGGAAGGAAGGAAAGAAGGAAGGAAGGGAGGAAGGAAGGGAAATAAAGTCCAGTGAGAAAGGCAAAGCCAGTGTAGCCTCCTGGATAAGTAAGGTCAGAACGGCCAAGCGTCATGGCTGCGGTCTGCCAGTACGTGGGAAGGACAGAGGGACCTGGGAGCGCAGAAGAGGAAAGAGCACTTTATGAGAGAGAAGAGGTTGGGAGAGTGAGAACAATAAAATGGCAGGTGTTCTAGTCCCCCACCCCCACCCCCACCCCCAGGGCAACCCAAGATGAGGAACAGACCGCCCTGGAGGCCAAGCGTCATGAGAAGGGAAGGGACTGACTCATCCTTCAGCATCCGTCTGTGCTGACGTCAGTACGTCCGTTACCCGCATTTGTAAACATACAGAGACCAGGTAGTGCTTCTACACATATTTGCCTTTTCCAAACAGAGAGGAGAGGCATGGAGAAACCCTGATAAAGGCACAGGCACTGAAGACACCGAGCTTCTCCTGTCTGACACGCAAGCTGTGGCCTTTTGCTGTTTTGCTGAAATGATGGATAGTGACACAGCGTCTGGCCCCTTCGCAGGTCATGAGGCCACCTGTCAATCAATCACGAGTAGGCAACATGGGTCGGCATCCCTGCGTCCCCTGCAAGCGCTGGGAGAAGTCCCCCTACGACTCCATAACCTGGGCATCGAATTCCTTGTTTGAAATCTGGGGAAACTGGGGCTCAGAGAGCCTCCATCACCTGTCAGAACAGAAGCAGCAACCTGATGTCAAGCCTTCTTGCGCTTCCTCGCCCGTTGTCACGGGGGTCTCACAGGCCAAGAGCCTTCAGCGGAAGCCGGTCCCTCCACAGTCACAGGTTCAAGGCTCACTCTTGCCTGGTCCCCAAGACAGACCTTACCTTGTTTCTGACACCTGCCAGCTGAGTGACTCTGCAAAGTGACTTTCATTTTCTAAGCCTGCAGCCAAATCTCTAAAAATGTCTGGGCTACATGCATTGATTGGAGAGCTCAGCAAATATTCTTTCTTTCTTTCTTTCTTCCGAGTTAATTCCACTTAATTATTTTCCATCATGCCACAGTCTCCAATCCACAGCTAGCATTATCAGGACACATACAAACAAATTCATTGGGAACGTGAGACCAGTTTTCCCATATTTCTTAATTAATAAGCTGTTGTTATTTATTAGGAAAGATAGGGCATCTTTGATTTCTCTCTCCCTCTTTCTCTTTGGTGCATTTTACAAAATGTTCTTAATTCTACTTGTAACGTCTCCCAAAGAGGATGGGAAGTTGTATTCCCAAGTATTCATGGTTTACGGGGGTGGCGCTGAACGCGTGCCAAGTTGCTGAGGTACATTCTAGAGATTCACCCACCCCACACCCCAGGGGCATGGCCAGGACACTCCGAGCAGGACCCAGCACACCCTACCCCCTGGAAGGGTCACCGTGGACGTTAGCGAGAGAACCCATTATTCCTTCTTTGCTTAACTGAACAGTCATTACGTCTCCAGGCACGCAACCAACTGTAATCAAATATTTTCCAGAACCGAAGTTGGTGTCCAGCCAACGGTGTTGGGTGCGCTGGGTGAGGATGAAAGAAAAATCTACCAAAGTCATAAACCAAGATGGGCTTGGACTCCAGAGCTTCCCTGAGAATAGCACTCATCACAGGCAACTGGAGAGAAATGACCAGTGATTACAGGCAGAGAGGGGACTATGTGGGGCTCGGTTTTATCCTCTGCAAAAATGAAAAGACAGAGGACAGAGGAGAGGTGGGGGTG